ACAACCTTTTTTTATTTTTTTAAAATAAGACAGACAGTATTTTATCATTTAAGTTGATATAATCTTGTTCTTACTAGGGTTTCTTGGTGCAGTTTCTTTAAATATAAATAAAAAGATAAATAGATAAAAAAATAAATGGGGGAGGAATGTTGGGAACACAAAGTCAAAGTTTAATTTTACTGCACCAAGACTATTTAATTTGCTTTTGTCCGAGAAGTGTTTTTTTAATGACAGAGGAAAACTCCACCATACATAAAATACAATTTTTTTAGCTAGTAAAAGTCAATAGTTAATAAAAACCACCGTCTCGTGAAACAATCTTCTGTACACAGAAGTTACCCCTCTAACTTTGTCTCCCCAAATTTTTCATATCGAAAAACACTTGCCTCATCATCCGAGTAACTATATTGTGAAGTTACAACTCCCCACATTTTACTGGCCACACTGGCAGCCTGCTTCATGCCTGACTTCAGAACATCCATTTTTGGTCCAGACAGTATATTGTCTAACTTCAGATTGGATAAAGTTGTTACGACAGAGCCTAATGAGCCATGTGGAGAAGAACGACCCAGTCCTGTCAAAGATGAAGACCGTTCCTTTTGAACTCGTGGATGAGTTTGTTGCTTTGGTCGTCCAGTGAATGTTTTGGATCTGGAGACAGAAGGACTTCTCCGATTTTCATAAGACTTGGGGGATGGCAGGACAGGATCCAAAGGCAGGCTTGACCTCCTTTCTTGGGAGTGACCAAGTGTACCAGAGACTTCTGCTTCCCTATCTGGCTTGTGCAGTTCCATGCTGGGAAACTTACTACCCAACGGGTTCTTCAGATTCATATAGCTCTCTATTTCATCTGCCAAATTACGTGCTGCAACTGGTGACACCAACTTTTCCTCAGGTTCTGGATGCCTTGGTTGCATGCTCTCAGTAGCCAGCAAAGATAAAGGGTCCAAGCCTACTTCAACATCTTCCCTTTCAATAGGCTTAACCACTCCATAAAAGCTATTCCTTTTAGTAGTTGCATCTTTGGATTCTGGTTTCTGGTTTTTGGACTCAGCTGACTGTTCAAGGTTCATGTCTTCCACTGTGATCATGTTTTCATCTCTTCCATTCTCAAGATGCTCCTGCCCTTCCCCAAGTTCTTCCAGCACTGCTGAAGACCTATGCTCCAATTCCCAATCACTCTCAGTCACACAACTCCAAGTGCCACTTACACCAGAAACCTGCTGGTCAACGATACTTTCAAAGCTGTGGGATTTATTCATATGACAGGGTGAAGTTTTGGCCCCAGATAAAGCTGCTGTTAGGATCTTGGCATCTGCTCCCATCATTATTGCTATTTCCTTAGAATGGAAGTCCAAGGTGCCTTTTTTCAGCAGCATTCCTGCTCTGCTTTCACTGCTGAAACTGCAGCTTCTCTCTGAAAACAGTTTCTGCCTCTTCTGTCCTTTTTCACTTGTTTTCTTAGGAGAAACATCACCAAAGACTACATCTTCAACTGAATCCTGAGTTATGAACAGTGGGCTAGAACCAGTTTCTAAAAGAGAAAAGGCATTAATATGGTATCCATAGCCACCAAAAACGTTTATCTCCTGAAATCATGTGAAATCTCCTTATCTCCTTACCGGTGAGAAGACTGGGAGCACCACAATCTCAAGTCATCCATTATGAAGTTACATTAGTATTAACAAGTTATTTTACTGGCTGCAAAGGCATCCTGCAGATCAAAAGTCATCTACTCTTTGACTCCTTGAAGTCAAAGCCTTTTATGGCTTTTACCTCCCTTCCCTGTGCCAATGCCCAGCAGAGAGCAGGTACTACATCCATGAGCTAAAGGAAAGTACAATTATAAGTAAAGATGGCTCTGTTTTTTTTTCCAGAGCTATATTCACAGATCTATACATCAAACTCCACAGTTCATTCTGGTTCTGAAAAAAAACCAAACTATCGTGTCTGCACAACGCAGAACATTACTTTGTTTGTGACACAGCCATATGTAGAAAAAACTAATTAAATTTAGCATGTGGAAGATATAAACTAATCTTATAAATATTCCCATTTTCTCAGGAGAATTGGGAATATTTATTGCCTAGAAAGCTGTGTTAGCTAGGCAAAAACCTCCATAAGTACAGGAATTCTACTATATTAGGATCCCAACAGAGGACCTAATGTACCATATCCACTGCTGGAGGATGTTTGAGTCTCACATTGATCCTGCTTCTTGACTAGTCATCATCTGTCATAAGTGCCAGAAGGGTTCTGGGCAACTCCTTGCCTGAGACCCAAATCTTTGCTATCAAGCTACACTGAAGCTGGACTACACTGCCTTAGTCAAGGACAGGCATAAAGGCAGAAAAAAAAATGAGCCCCATGATTTGGCTTTTATATATCCGTAAGTTTTCCTCATCATAAAGCTCCAGATACGTAAATAAATTTTGTATAGCACAAAGACAACATGTATTGTTCCCAGGTTATACATTGGCAATGTAAGCCACAGGAATAAAGAGACTTGTCCAAGGACAGCGACGTTTAGGTGACAAAAATCGAGAGTAGAGACCCTAATTCTCTTGTCTAGTACATTACTGAAACACTCTCAGTGCGGGACAGGGAAAATCTTGATTTCAATCTACTCAATAGTGATTTTCAACCTTAGAATCTGCAGGTTCCTTCTAAGTCACCTGCAAAGGATAATGGTGGAAAGCAAATGTTGTGCAAGATAGCTGCCCCTCGAATAGAAGTTTTGTTTCTTTTCATAGCATGAAAAAGATTGCAAAACACTATAGCACAACAAGATCAGGACTTTAGCAAGTTCAGTTTCACCCAGTGACTCACCACCACTGCTCTTCCTTCCACTGCTATCAAAAATGCCAGATGGAACTTTTACAATACTGTTACCCCAAGGAGGTGGGTCTGTTGGACTATGAGTTTCTATATTCAGCTGTTGCTTTTCATCAGATTTCTCAGTACAAATCTCTACAAGAAAGAGAATGTGAACTTTAGTTAATTTAACTAAATAATTTCATTTGCACTGTTATGGAAAATATAAACTCAAACACTGTTCCCTTATGTAATTACAACCTAAAGCATCAGTCCTACTAGGTACTGAGCATTTCCTGGAAATAATACCCAGACAGATGACAGTAGACAGTATTATGCAGAGAGTGCTTAGCTGTTCACAAAGTTAGAGCATATGCCAATTTCTTCCCTTGGTATTTTTTTAAATAACCAAAGTAGAGCAGGAACAGCAGGTCTCAGATTTTCATGCGAGGCTATTTGTCTAATGACAGCTTTAGAAGTCCTAACTCACATTAAGGATCTAGTAACACAGATATGAAACAGATTCAGTAATGAGAAAGACAAAATACAGAAAAACTAAGGGCAAAATCTGGATAGAAGACAGAAGATGACCGTATTTTCCACAGCTGGGAAGAGTTTGTAGGAAAAAGTAGTGCCTTTCATTAGGTCAACTGGTACAGCTAAAAAAATGCTCAAGTTTTCAAATATACAAATGAGAGGAATGGAATACAAAATACTGTGTGCCCCAGCACTTGTCCAATTTTTCCATCTATATTAAATTAGGTTCTTAGACTAATATTTTATTAAAAGGCTATTTCTACCTATGTGTATTCCACTGCTATTATCTAGGGCACAGAAGTTGTCCACCAGATTTTATACAGTCATATTTTGACCTTGACAACATTATGAATTCAATACATTAAATATTCGTGGTAGTCTAATGCATGAAGCAGATTTATTACAAAAAGCCTTCATCAATGTAAATATGCATACTTAACCTCCTATTAGGTCTTCAGCTTTAGAAGAAATATCTTTCTCTACTTGTGTTTCAGTTGCATGAAGACTATCCCCATCACCTCTTAAAAGTTCATCCTTGGATCCGTAGCCCTGGTCTGACTGACCACCTGTTTGAAGGAATACAAACACATGCCTCAGATTTGTTTTTCCTTCCTAAACTTGTTTTTCAGTAAGAAAATAAAAGAACTGATATTTATTTGTTTCACATTTTATTTCGCCAGAAAAGTTCATAGTAAGATACCAAAATGCCTAATCTGTAGGCAGATCTACTTGGTGATGGTCACAGCAGAGACAATTAGGCTATAAAATCCAAATTTACTTTTCTAATTATTATATTAAATACAAGTTATTTCCCCAGGAACACTATAGTGACTAACTACTTTTAACGCACTGTATCTCCTTTCATTCCTTTCCCTTCTCATTAGCATGAAATATTTCATTGCTGGGCAAGCTAAATTCTCAAATGCATCTACAAAATAAATTTAGACAAGTGCAGTAGTAATTGAGCAAGCTTCTAACAATGAATACATCCCTGAAAGAATTGTACCATAAACTGTGCTATATCTTTGTGCTATAGTGCAAAGTATAAAATGTAATGGAAAAAAAAGTAAAAATCTAAACATTTATAAATTGTCTGTTCCTCCTCAATACCAGTTAAACTTGACAGCTGTAACTCATTCTTTAAAAAAAAGTTTACAGCAGTCCAAAAAGTCTGCCATAGGAAACAATCCAGAAAGACACTCTTTTCGTTATTTTTATCTGAAGTGCTGCTGCATATGCAAAAATACAAAAATACTGTAGGGGACATATCCCACAGCAACACGTTAAACAGGATTATTTATATGCCTTAGGGTACCTATTAGAATACGTGACAGTATTTAAACTTTTCGTTATTTTTATCTGAAGTCCTGCTGCATATGCAAAAATACAAAAATACTGTAGGGGACATATCCCACAGCAACACGTTAAACAGGATTATTTATATGCCTTAGGGTACCTATTAGAATACGTGACAGTATTTAAAAAGATCAAAGTGTAAGTAAGTTACTGAGTGTGAAAGGTATTAGGAAGCTCCGTAAGACTTGAGTGACAGACATAATTTAGCTACAATACATATTACTGCTGTTTATTTTACCAACAAAGAACTAACATGTAAAAAAGAATTAAAAGTTGAGCAGCCATCAATTATTACATTTGGCTACTATATTAAAAACCTTTTATACAGAAAAGTGAGTTCTGACATTCTTCGGTCCTTATTTTCTCTCTATCATCATTTCAATAATGTTAGTATCCCTGCTTTGCACAGAAGTGAAAACGCCCTATCAATAAATGGGTGAATTACCTGCAGAAGTAACATTCAAGGGTAGAAATAATGCACACGTGCATCCAAGGCTTCACACCATATAAGTCTGCACCCCACACCATGATAGCCAAGGACAAATGCGGCACCCAAGTGACAGCAAAGAGCAAAAAGCAGAGCAACAAAGAGCAGAGAGAAGTGAAGTTTAGTAATCTAGGCAGGCATATCAGATGAAGCACAGGAATCAGACTCAAAGTTCTCTTTACACAAGGGCTCAAGATATTAAAAATATGGAGAGTGTGCAAGAACCATTTGTACATTAAGTTTTGAAGTACACACAGAAAGGAAGTTTAGTTGAGACTGTGCACAGGTAGGATGTAATCAGTTCTAAGGGAGATATGAAGAACCATGGATTTTGTCTTGCCGTCTCAAGTGATTAACCTCCTGTGCACTCTTTTTACTCCAGTTTGTCTGGAAGAGTGCACATCACATTTAAGGCAGTTTTTCTCCAGCTTATCACCTGTCTTTCCATTCCCAGGGTGTCTCATAAAGACTGTATGACAAGGCTCTGATAATTTCTATATTTATTTCCAAGTTTAGCAACTACTATTAAGAAGCTTGAATATGGCCTTTAAAAGCATAGTTTACTATAACCAAGCATAACATACTAATTCCAGGAATGCTAATTAGGCCTTTCTGGATTACCATCAAGGAGCAACATTTTAAAGTGTTAGCTTCTAATCACCTCAGCAATTTTCACTCCTTTCCTTTAATGCAGAGAAACGTTTTACTCTCACAGACTATCATTTCTATGAATAAATGACAATATGCAAAAATTGAACAGACTCATACGTCAGAGGCTTCATACCTTTTCTGAAGATTGGCACAAAAAGCAAGGTTTATGAGACCACAGCAAGACATTTATTTTAACATAACAGTACTTCTGCTACGGTTCACTCTAAACTAAAGAAGCAGCATGATCTGCAGTAAAGGAATAATATTCAACAACAGTGTATTTCTTTTTCTTTACATAGTTTAACCCCATGCTTCATTCTCTACAGCCTCAAGAGGGGAAGGTGGTGGTTGTGGAGGGGAAATCAACAGGAGACTAGAAAATTTAGCCTTTTGGGGGACTATTAGTAGTGAAACCCAGCAGAATCTAGTACCTGTGCTAGAGTGATTATCAATGGAATCAAGCCTGACTAAGTCACTGACGAAGAGAGTGTGCTCCCCACTGTTAGCATCATTAGAACTATCCACGCTACCATGGCTCACCATGTCCCCATCACTTCCACCCGTGGTACTCCGCAGAGCTAAAGACATGAACGAGAGCTGGTTAGTAAAAGAGGATTTAAACTTTTCAGGTTTTTAAACAAATCTAACCTCTTCAGACAACAGTAAATACTTTTGCTTGCACATATAAAATAAGAATATGAAATTCTAGCAACAGAATTCAGACAATTAATTCTTCAGTGTGCGAAAGACATTCTAAGACTGTTTCAAGCATCAAGGTTGCAATTATCAATTTTTATACACTTAAGGAAAGACTTCCCACTTGCAAAAGCCACAATGTTAGCTGCAATCCCTCAGGAAGCATGTCATGCTCTTGTTCAGCAGAAATAAATCCATTTCAATGAACTTATTACCTGGTATCACAGGTACTCGTGGGCTCTGCGTTGATTTCTTTAAGCACTGCCTAAATTGTGCTGTGCCACGAACTACATTTCGTACCTTTGTCCACAGAAATATGCCACTGCGGTTACTGCTAGGCCAAGGAGACTCTAAAATCGCCTACAAAAAGAGACATTGCAATAACAAAAACAGTAAGAAAGTTACACTAAGAAACACAGTACAGTGAGAAGCTTTTCTTTCCATACTCAAAAAAGGCATTTCCTGTCAACCATGTGAAGAAGGGCAAATATTTGAGTTTTTATGAGCTGTTCCCTTTTATCCCACAGCTCTGGATACAATAGCTGAGTAACAATGAACAATGGATCAAGATTTCTTTAAGTAAACAAGGTGGGTTTGGTTCGTATTTATATACTTCGGTAGCAAAAGACCATAGTAGCACCTCTTTTCCTATTACTTTACATAGTTTACTAAGAAGTTTCACCAGCATATTACAGGAACTTGGAAGCAAGGAAAAGAGGGGGAGGCTACTTCAACTAGCCTAATTCCAGTCTTCATCCATCTTAGATCCTGCTATCTTAAAGGATACACCTAGGAACAGATGGTTTTGACGTGGAAGCACTGGACAGGTTCCAAAACTTGGAAATGGAATCACTATATATGAATATTTCAACAGAATTTTTGGTTAGCCAAACAGCAAAGGAATGTAAACTGAACAGCGTAAAACCATACAATGTAGATCCAGTGAACCGTAAGCATGTCCAAAATGATTGCTTGCCCAACAGAATCAGCAAATCCGAGTGAAGAGCTGTAAGAAACAATCTTCAAAACATGCTACAGGAGGAGGGGAGTGACAACAACAAGAGAGACATTGGTCCAGTATCCCTTGTCAAGACTTCTCTTACCTTATTGTAATAACCATAAGTGATGGCATTTGGCTGTATTCCAGCATTTTTCATTTCAAAGAGGACTCTCACGGCCTGAACAGGCTGACCCCACAGTCCACAGAGCTGCATTACAACTCTGTAGCAGACCTGACAAGATACAGAAATGCATAAATGGACTAATGAAAAGGATTTTGAAACAGCTTAAGCTCTTCCCTGATTTCCAACTTTTACACATGTAAAAGGGAAAGCCATGTGAGAGCAGCTACTCAGTACACAACACTCAACAGCCAGAAGAGGGAGCAAAAATTAAACAGGAAATCACACAAGCTGAAATAACATCAGCAGTCATATTGTTGAGAATGCTCATTTTTTTTTCCACTCGGCTCTTCTGTTTGTGAAATAAAGGAGGGAAGGAAACACCCACACAAAAAGCAGAATAACTTGCTGCTGTGTGCCTGTGGATACTACCGAAAGAATGGTATGCTGTACACAAACCCATTACCCCTTCAGTTCAGTAAGGCTGCAAAGCATTAATTCAAAGTGCATTTAAATAATAGAGATATTCAAGAACTTCATTCTTGAAGAAGTCTGGGAGAAGACTAACAACAGTAAGTTGGAGTACGTGACCCAGCTGACACTACGCTGGTGATGAAAAACGAAATGAATTTCCAGTTGCCCTAGTTAAGCAGACTTCTTTGAGATCATTTCAAGGTGGCTTTAAAACAGGTCAAACTGTAAGTATGCTTAACCTGGTGGTGGCGTGAAACACACTATATCTGCACCTTGTCTTCTATTCCACGTTTATGGTAACATTTTTTATTCACACTTGCCTCATCTAGTGGTTCCACATCAGTTTTCCTCATTTTAATTAGAACATCGTATGCCTGCTGCAGTGCTTTGACCTTGGGATGTGCAACTCTGATGTAGGCTGGCAGACAAATAAACCATAGGCTGTAACTATGACTGAAGAGACACTTAGCCCACTGTGGGGGGCTTACGTAATACTTCTTGGCTAATTTATGGGCTGTTTTTATCTCCTGTAAGGGTGAAATGAAACAAAAAAGCAGACAAAAGATGTAACATCCTGAATCTAGAAGCCATTACTAACTCAGATATTGGCTTCTTAAAAGTAAACATTTAATAATAATGGACAAACTTTCAACTGAAGCTCCCTTCTTACCACTCTCTTACTAAGGCTCTCTGCAAGCAAAAACTAGCATCAGAATTAATCTTTTTTTTTTCTTCCACATTCAAGCATTAATTGTAATTTTCTTTTGTTTTATATTACAGTCTAAAGCTTAAAAACGGGTTTGACAATAAACTGTAATCTCAGATGCCAATTTGTTTGTTTGCTGCCTTCTGCCTCTTTCTTTTGCAAGTGTTGATTCTCAATAGTTACAAAGACCTAACCTCTAACAACATTAACTTATAGTATAAATAGGTAGTGCCAATTTTACCTAAAAACTTCATATCTTTCAGTGTTCACACAGTGATTACAGTAAGACTCATCTGACCTGTTTTGTCCTCTTTGCCATGAGTGCTGGGCTATTTGAAATGCTGCTTCCAGCTGGGTGTCTGCTGAAGGAGAGCTTGAGCTCCTGTGGCCTGTCAAAGAGCTTGAAATCTAGTCGTGGGAAGTTTTTATAGCTATATAGATAATTAAAAAAAAAAAAAACAGAAAAGAAAAGAAAAGCTTTTCACATACCTGCTGATAGCAGGAAAGCCATACAAAGACAACTTGTGTGCAAACAACTGACAAACAGGAGCAGAAAGAACCGGGGAGCAGGGCGGGGTGTGGGAGAGTGGAAGGAAAGAAGATTGCACGATCCTTTTAGTCTTATTCACAAAGATATCACAAGAAGATGCCTTGGACATTAAATCTCCATAGACAATGGAAACAAGAACCAGACTGCCATCCATATCATGAAGGTCAGGGAAGCACAGATGATGATTAACAAGGACAACAGTTGGAAACAGAACCTTCGTGACCAGGAAGAAAAAAAAATCATACCCAGAGTGTCTGAAACTCCACGCTTCCTGCACAGGGCTGAAAAACACTGAATGAAAGAAGTCTGAAAAGTGGAGTGGGTGTTTTGTTCTTTTGGTTCATCAGCTGCAGATCAATAGTACTGGACAGATCCATTACCCACCCCCTGTCATTCCCACTGTGAAACAAAGTGCACTGCAGATGCTACAAAATACACATAAATGGCTCAAATGGGAAGAAAGACACTGGATACATGTGGAAAAGTATAACTATAAAGTTGGCAAGAAGTTACTGAAAAATTAAAAGCAAAATCCACATGCCCTCAAACATACACACACACAAAACACTGACTTCTAGAGCTTCAGAAACTTACCAGAATCCAGGCAGTTCATACCTTTTTAAAGATTCTTCTGAACATTATATTAAGGCAAGTCTTGCTCCAAGACGGAACATCTGCCCTGCTTAACGTCATAAGCATTCTAGTTTCACTACATGTGGCTGTTTGACTTGTACCTGTATTTTGGCACTCGGTCCTGTCCGTCATCAGCAGGAGGTTCTGGTGGCATTATGAACACTGTGTGTTCACTTTTTTGTGACTCATCAAGCTCAATCAACCGTGCATCTTCAACGGAATCTACATCAACCTGAAAATAGAGTTTGTACTTTAAGTACAGAGTTTGGCTTTGGGATAAAATGTCCTTTTTTATACTGTATTTGATTATATATAAAATATATAAATTAAATTATATTTGTTGTAATTACTCAAATATCAAGTCACAGCCTCGTCTTTCAATTTTTATTTCATGATCAGATATCCCTAAACATTTTGAAGGACAAAGTACCTTCTCTCCTTTTTCTGTTCCTTTATCCGGAAAGAGCTGGGAAAAGAGGAAAAAAAAAAAAAGAGTTTCTTTTCAACTCAAAAAAAAATCCTAAATAATTCTATTAAAGCTGTGTCATTTACTGACATATTAAATAAGAAACACTAAATGTTCACATTACTGTAGAAGCAATTAATCCCTTTTTCAAATACTTCCTTTGCTGAAAATAAGAAAATGCAGTAATCAGCATGCTTTCAATCTGTTGACATTATCTACTAAATATAAAATCCTTAAGTCTATCAAAGGAAAGTGCTTTCATTTCGTTTAATTGAAAGAAACTGCTCTTTCCCAGATATTTTCAATATTATAATTTAAGTATGCAATACAGTAACAACCTGCAATAATATCAAATTATTAACAATATTAAACAAAGTGTACTCTAGATGCATACTCTAGATGCATACCCCATACTCAGCAGAAAGAAAAATAAAGGCAAAAAAACTTTTAAACACTTATTTTGTGGTCTGTTTATAAGTGTTAATTGGATCGGAATCAATATTGAATCAAAAGACTCATTCTGTAAGAACTTGGTATGAAAATGAAGGTTCTGTCCAGAAAGAATCATATCTATATATACACACACCTTAAAAAATACTTACAATTCTCTAGCTCCTAATTTTTATATTGTGAACTTGGTATTTTACAGATGAAGCTATAAAGTCAATAACCCATCTAGACTAGAACCATGCTGAAGAGACTTTGTTTCAGAAAACAAGAATGGGTAACAGCAATCTTTCTCATACAAAATACAGGCAACAAAAAGGGATCTTATCTACATAAATCAGTTTTGACCACAAGTGGAGCACTAAGCATGTTTTTGTGTTTTAAGTTTAAATTGTGTGAAAAAGAGCAACACAGATGACCACTGGTAGATAATCACCCTCCCTCTAATGTGGAATTAAGATTTAAAGGGAAGACATGGATGACATTGTGCTAAAGTGTCAGCTACTGGTATTTCTCACATTATCTTACAGCTTGACATCCTACACGGCTTTAATGAAAGTTTCCTTCATCAACACAGAAAATTATGACCATGCAAGAAGATGAAGGAAGAAAATGACTCAGCAATAACCAACAAGAATTCCAATCCCTCAAAACACTTGCTGCAGACGGTATCTACCTTTACAACTAAAACCCAAGACAATAACACAAAATGAACAGAAGCACATAATTTGATAGTATTGCTACATGTTTTTCACCTTTTCTATGCAGTCATCAAAAAATGCCAGGCCAGTATCCTTGTCACTCACAAAACTGCACTCTTCAATAAAGCGGCTGAATATCTGTGTTTTGGTGAGATGCGTGTAGAACTTTGTATAGGCACGGTCTCTGCTTTTTAAAAATCCTGGTTATAAAAAGAAACACACAACTAAATACCAGTTATGAGTTCCATAAGAAATTAACATATAAAGTGTCAATATAAAACATTTAAAGTGCTAACACATAAACTATTGGCTTTATCAAAAAAAAACCTACTTATCACTACTTGCATTCGGAAGATTAAAATAACTTTTTTTTAATAATTATTTTTCACGGTAGTTAACAATACTTGGCAAGCAATCACCCCCATGTAATCTGCTCACTGTGTTTGTTGACTTTTTGTGCAAGAAAAAGGAGATGATGACCTCGTACAAAAGTAGAAGTATCTAACAGTTAAAACAATACTAAAATAAAAATTATGTTATCCTAAGAGGTGATGGGCCTGAAAATATTTGAAGACTTTCCAATCCTTCGACTAAAAATCTCTTCTCAAATCTCTCTTCCAGTAATTAAAAAAACACCAAAACAATCAACAACCCCCCTCTCCTCCAAAAAACCACCACATACAAAACAAAACACCTGTGACATTTTATCTAGCATTCAACTCATGAACAGATCTGAAAAGTTAAGGTGATAAGAGGAGGAAAATAAGATGACCTTTGCTGACTATTGTTTTGTTTCTGATCTCTGCTCCATTCTCTATTATCTTCCCATTTATATCAAGAACATTACTTTGCTCTTCATTACCGGGCTTCTGGCATTTTTGCTCAGTACTAATTGAGAAATATTCTTTCATTCCTAAGAGCTGCCCTTATGAAATATGCCACGCAGAGAAGGCATCATGCCACTGAAAGACAGCTTTTCTAATACCAGAGCTATTGCAAAATTGCAGTTCTATGTGCATATATCCATGTTCTAATCAACTTTGAATAGTTTAACTTTATACAATTACAATTTTAAATATTGCCAAGAATTGTACAACCAAGGAAACTTCGACCTTTTAAAGTTAAGCAGCTCCTCAACCCTAAAATTGTAACACTGCCAATGCTGCCAGCAGCTGTTTGCCTCACCCTCACCTTGATGATCAAACAAGGAATCAGCAGCAGTTGCTTTATTTGAAGGTGCCTGTGTGATTGGCTTGAGGAATGTTCTGTAACCCTTTAAAATAGATGCCATGAAACGGAGAAAAGCTTCCTGGATCTCCATCTCGAGTTCTATCATCTTCTTCTGCCAGGAGAAATCTGCCTCAATAGGAGTCATCTCCACTGCAGAGCCTTCTTGAGTTTTCCTGTGAACTAGCAATGAGCAACACACACAATCCTATATTAAAATTCGGTGCATTCAAACAGGTAACTTTTGCAAGACGCTGAAGACGGATTTTTCTTTTTTCTACTTGCCCATATTCAGAAGTGACAAACACTAGAAATCCTGTGATTATTTTCCAGTTGATCTGGCCCATATAAAAAGGCAGGTTACCTCAAGAGCTGATTATGTGTTTTTCTAACTCATCCAGCTCTCTGGGACATGAAACAACGAGGAGGATCTCAGTTGAGTTAATGTTACCACATACCCAACTGAATGTAATCTTTCAGTAATACATCAACACAAAGGACCATGTTTTCCCTGTTCTGAAGATTGCACATCTAGAAAAAAAGGACCTAAAACTATTTTTCTAATCAAAATTCTAACATTTTAGTGCACCAAAGGATAGAAAAAAGTAGATGACACTCAGAGTTTACATTTACACTCTTATAAAAACCAGTAACAGGTACTGCTGAAAATTATAGTTCCATGCTTTTTATTATAACAAAAATATCAATTATCGTAATATAAAATTTATATAAATACAAATAAATATTATAACATTTATTATAACATTGCCAAAAGAGAAAAACTGTCTATCTAAAAAAGACCACTGGTTCTGCTCAAGTTAAAATTACGAAGTAGTTCTATATAGGCAGATTGCATGACATACCCTGCTGATAAAACCAAAAGAAAAGTTGAGGTTTTCTAACAGATGAAGTAAAGGCTATCTGCAAAAAAAAAAAAATTATAGAACATTGAGGCAAGAACACCTACCTCTTAATTAATGCACTTTTCTGTTTCTATAATTTACAACTTTTGTATATCTTGTATATCTATGAGGCTGTCATTGTCTCCTCCTTCATAATGATGCAACCTAGCATACTCTGAATCAGCTTACCTTAAAGAGCCTGTCTACAGTCAGAAAGAAGCAATACCCGAAAACTGTTAGGTCAGCTACAATTTTGCTCTTACCTGTCCAAGTCATTAGGCTGAAGGTGGTCAGTTTTTCTTTTTCTTTTGACAAAACACTTTGTCAAAATTTAGCTACTCGATTATTCTTGTAGAAAAGCCATTATCCGAGATATTCAGCAGTATGTGCACAATAGCCGAGATATTCAACATTATTTTACTCATATCCCTATTTCCTCTATTATTTTTGATCAGAACTGTGAATATTGTTTTAGATCAAGATCCAAATGTGTTTTAGCTGAATCTTTGTTTAAATATAATTTAATCATGAGTGAAGGCTAAAAAAAAAGCTCGAATTCTAAGAAGTCACAGCAAAGCAAATACAAGTCTAAAAAAATAATTCACACCACCTAAGATAGAAGGAAGTCCTTACATTTCTATACTAATTATAATTTAAGAGTTGTAGGTGTGTATCAGAAAATTTAGTAGGTTTTTTTTTAATATATACTTTCCCTGCTTTAGGCAGTTTCTGTTCTTACCCCTTCCCATTTTATTTTATATATTTCACCTGCTGCCAGCTGTGGGTGCAGTTTCTTTAAGGTGCTGAGCAGATTTTTACATGGCTTCTTAGGAAACTGCTTCCAGGTGGTGCTCTTCTTATCATCTGATCTAAAACACAGGGGAGGGAAAAAAGGATATGTAAAATACGGACTATATAAAAAAGAATAGCTTCCACAACCCCTTCCCATTTTATTTTATATATTTCACCTGCTGCCAGCTGTGGGTGCAGTTTCTTTAAGGTGCTGAGCAGATTTTTACATGGCTTCTTAGGAAACTGCTTCCAGGTGGTGCTCTTCTTATCATCTGATCTAAAACACAGGGGAGGGAAAAAAGGATATGTAAAATACGGACTATATAAAAAAGAATAGCTTCCACAGCCCTAAGTTGCTTCATTTTAAGAAAGTAGTAACTAAAAAAAAAAAAAAAAATTTGAAAAGAAATCTTGTCACTGTCCCTATTTGTCAAAAATAAAAAAAAGGGAGTGACACAACTCAGAATTTAATTTCCTCAGATACAGAACAGCATAAATTGTGTTATGAGTAGAGTTTTCTCCAGTCTGTAAGGAGGATCCGCGTTAAGATTTGATTTAGACTTTCTAGTTGAAGTTTCACTTAGCTGATTTCTCTTTCAGAATTTTTATCAGTCTTGCTAATATAATTTAAGCACGCTAATCTGTACATGATTACTATGCAAAGTCTATACTACCATAAACCTGCCATACTGCTACCGATACAAATAAAGGCAATTTGGAATACAACATGGACTTGTTATTGCAAAATGCTGTAAGACCAGTCTGGTAGCTTTACGATCATATGGTACACCGTAACATGTCTATGGCAACTCAGCTCCAGCTTCAACCACAGGCTGGCAGGGACTAGGAAGATTGGGAACTCAGTTCACAGTTTGAAAATTATGTGGCTGATTAAGCAATGGGGTAAATTGGCCTAAAGGGATGCTCATCTTTGTTAGAAGGACAACGGGTACAATGCCAGACCTTGTTTAAGCAGTTGGATATAAAGACAGAGAGAGTAGGGAGTAAATCCTGAGAACTCCTATGCCTCTTTCTGGAAGGCAGAAGGTGGGGGAGAATTGCTGTAACAGGGAGTACAACAAACCTTGTGGCCACAAGACCTAGTCAGTTATTACTATCCGAGCTGATGCTGTCACTGCTTGTTTTGCACTTTGCATCAGTGAAATGTTTGTTCAATTATTATTTGCTCAATTGGCATCAACACAGAACTATCTTAGGAAGGAAGCCAAAGTTTCAGGAGCTAAAGAAAAAATGCACGCTTACAGATGCCTTTGCCCATTTTTTCCCCACCATAATGGCATGCCTATAAACAATGTAAGTGGTACTGTTCCAAAAATGTAAGGAAAAAATCCTGCTATAAAAATAAAACAAACTCTCAAATCTTTGCCCTAAAAAGGCTACTTTCCTTAACCAGCTTTCAGTGTTACTTTCATGAAGATAGTTGAAAACATCCAAAAAAAGGCATTAAGGAAGATGCTGAATGAATAAAAGGCCTTCAGTATTTTTTGGCAGTAAATAAAGCCTCAGTCTATCATAAGGAAGATAGCAGCAAACTTGCTCTAAAAAGACACTAGACAGAGTGATGTACTAGAACATACTGAATTTTTCAAATGTTATTCTTCTATTATGCAGTCTTTCAAAGTTAGCAACAGTGCTGTTAAATGCTTTTACACCTAAAAAAAACCCAAACAAAAAGCAGCATTGCCACAGAAATAAAGAGGGGCAGAAACAGACATGGATAAAATAAAATGGAACATTAATCTTTACTCACTAATAACGTACTATTTTAGAATTCTGTATCTTCTTCAAGACAAGTGCTTTATGGAGATTTGGTTTTACCTACACATCTCCAAAATTGAAAAATATCCTCATTTCCAGGTTAAAAAAGTTTTCTAATGCAGGTACCAACATCTCACATTTACCTAAGTCAAATGTTACAGATGTCAAATTCCTCTGGAAGTCAAATAAACGGTACAGATGAGATACATGCAAAATGGGCAGCAAAAAAGAAAAAGACCGGTTGACTATTGAAAGAGAAATGGACTTATACGACAGTAAAAGAAAAGGTGCAAAAATCTTCCCAGCTGAGTGCCTCATAAGAGGTCAGCCACTGGTAGATTTTCAGTTCAGTAACCAATCCAAGTAAGGTTGGTACTTGGTCCTTCTAGCAGTCATCCCAACAGGATCTTGACAACCTTATCTCCCTGCTAAATCCCGTTTCTATCTCCTTCATTTTTCTGCAACCCAGTCTGCAACTTCCACTCTACTTATGAACAAAAACATTCAGGTATTTTTCACTGCAAATATCTTCATATAAACAAGTTATCTTCCTTGAGTTTCTTCAATACATTCTTCTTTCACAACACCTATTATAATTATTCTTTTGGTGGCATAATACTTTGATATACAGTGACGAAAATGCTTTTTGCAGTGTTTTTAATGGGGACCTAGGGGAAGGAGAAAAAAAACAAATAAAAAAATAAACGGAATGTGCTCCATTATTTACTATTTCCTTTGATGCTACTAATAAAACAAAGCATTTCAGTAATGTAAAAGAAACATTTGCTTCAGTAGAGGAAGGGTCCCTTTGACACGATGAAAATCAAGAAAGCATTCAACTGACCGATAGATCAAAAGACTAATTCTAACAAGTTAGTAAAAACAAAAGATTTGAGAAGTGACATGAGATGAAGTAAAACTGTATTTTCACAGAGAAAAGACATGCACTTTATTTAGTGATGTTCACCTTCATCTTGATCTAGTTTAGATACCTCTATTTATGATCTAATTAATTTAAAATGGAAAGGTAATTCACAAAGTTAGTAATTCATAAAGTTACTAAATTAAACACCTGAAACAGCTGAATTTTCAATTCAGTTATTTGTACTCTCATTTAGATATATTACAGAAAAACAGGAGAGTTACTCTGAATTAGCCGCTCCTCAAGAAGGTGTGAAGAAACTGTTCATGCAACACCTTCAATTTAAGAAAAGCATTAAAAACATAATAATTAAGTGAAAATATTTTAGATTGAATGTAGTCAGGACACCAAATTTTGCTTGATTAATCTCACGAAAAATTTGGCCCTTGTAACTTTGGAAAAGTTCTTTATTAACACTAACATAAAGTGCCCCAAGTGCAAGACAGCATCACAAGCTGTCATGAAGGGTCCTGAAGCGCTCATGTTTATACCAATAATCACTGAACACAGGCAAACCAAATTCAAAAGTGGTAGGTCAAAGTGAAAATGTAAGAAATGGTGAGGCAGGGGAAAAAAAGAAAAAAAAACAAAACAACCAACCCACAACTCTTCCTCCTCTTTTCTAGCTTTTGTCCCATTTCCCTAATAAGCAGTACTAGAAGTGGGGAAAAAAAAAAAACCAGAACACATTACCATTGTTACTACATTTATAGCAACATCTGCATCACATTTTTATAGGCAGCGCCAAGTGTTGACCCTTGACTTAGTAAGTTTTAATTTGCTATGAAGCATTAGAAATGAGAAAAAGAACAGAGGACAGTAAGAAACAAACCATACTGGATAAAAGTGTTTAATCATTTTATCTCCTGAGCACTTCAGCAATCTCTCCATCTACAGATAAATATAAAAACTCCATAGAACTTACATGTACACCATGTTTGTGTCTAAGTCAATGCACACAATATCCTGTGGTGGATCGTACAGATCAAAGTATCGTGAATCAACTCCAACAATAAATGGAACAGGTGCACTGAGTACGGTGGCCAGAGACAAAGGACAGAGGGGGATATATGGACATTGCCACTGAAATGGAAATATCATCTGAAGGAAAAATTAAATGAAGTCAATGCATTAAAACAAGACAACACATACTGTACAATAAAACCCAAGAAGTTACATGCAGCAAGTTGAAATGAAATTGCTAAAAGCCTTGTAACACTGTCAGGAAAGAGTCTTCAAGTTTGACCACTTATTTACAGCACATCTCTTAGTTACCTATGCAAAAACGTTGATCGTTCTAATAGTTATAGTAATAAGACATGCTAGGGCACGTTAACTAAATGCTATTGCTGGGAAAATGGTCATTTAAACTTAAAAAAGCCTTGTAACAACTGTGGAGTTTGAACTGATTTCTCTCACTGCTGTACAGAACACTTTGTACTTACAGCTACTACAGCTTCAGCAACTCCTGTCAACACAGCTGGTCTAAGAGAATGGAGGAGGATCTTGCCTTCTAATAATACAAAGAGTAACAGAGTGGCACAGTTTTCCGGTCCAAGATTCATGAGCAGAGTGCTAAAGTTTGCTCCACTAAGGGGTGGGTAGGAAAGGGGAAGAGAATAAGAATGTTACAGGCTTTAAAAAAACAAACCAAAACAAAAAAGTCACTACTATCAAACTTCTGACAACTGTTTGGAACCAACTAGTTGAATGGTGCTAATATTACCACACATCAAATATATACCTATCTATCTAATAGTTATCACCTCACTATGAGACTTGTACTGCCACAAAGAAACCTAATTTCAAATTCTACCATGCTACTGCTGAGTTTGTGTTGTTTATGGCACTCTCTCTCATATACGCACAGGCATCTTGTCTTTGTAACAGTAAAACAGTTCTAACTGGTTAACAACTAATCCAAGCACAAATAACACCAGTAGTTTCATATGATGGGTTACCTCAGGCAAAAATCATGAACTAGAGCATCCATTTGATCTTAGAATCACAGTATCAAATTCTAACACCAGTCAAGTAAAATCAATCCATCATTCTGATAGCAACATGCCTTTAGTTTCTACAGTTTAGACTCTATTTCATTTATTTGGACTGTACACACTTAGGAATTGTAATGACATCTTGAAGAGCACAGGGGTGTAAAATCTGTCCTTAGAAAAGTGCTTACATGTTACTTTGCAGTTTGGTGGCTGGCTGCAATTTTTCACTTAAGAGGCTATGTAACAGATGTGATTAAACGTGGGATTCTTCTGCATACAGAATATTATATGATAATTTGGGGGGGGGGGGGTAAAAAGGG